TTGGGTCAGGGAACATTTGTATGTTTGTAAGTCCCAACTAATCCTTCAAGACTTACTAGCCTGACCCAGAATTAATAAATAAGCTTGCCAGAGTCCATATTTCTGCCATAAAATACACTACAGAACAGAGTTTTAGCTCCTTACTATTTATAGCACCTACAGACATTACAGAATGCCCACCTTGCATCAGAAAATATTGACTTCCCCTGTCAGGTTGTAATTTCTCAGGAAAACCATTATTCTTATTATTATCCTCTTAAGAGAAACAAACACCAGGGAAGTCCTCCAAGCATCTCCCTCCAGTTCTCTATAGGCCCCAGCATGCTTCTTCATCCAATGGGTAGTTGCGTGTTCATACTATGCCAGGTCATGGAAGACTATTTATTCAGCAGACATCTAATGTCTGTAAAAAGTCCATATATCCCATCACACTCCTGACCGGAGAATGCCCAATGTATCAGGGCGGGTGCAGCAGCAACAACAGATGCCTCCGTTAAAACGTACAAAAAAATAATAAAGTCACCGGCACTCCAAATGATCAAGTCAATAAGTTTATTGACCCAAGTGATAACACCTCTAGCCGGTGCTAGAGGTGTTATCACTTGGGTCAATAAACTTATTGACTTGATTATTTGGAGTCCCGGTGACTTTATTATTTTTATATCTAATGTCTGTAGGCTGCTTTGGATTCTTCAAATGTTTTAGGCAGGGTCCACTTTGTGCCATGTTTCTTTTCAAGCTTTGTATAACAATATGTATTACTGTAATAAAATAGTCATAATAGTAGTGATCCTAATAATCACTCTTTGAATACCAAATCCCATATATTAAAAGAGACTGGCTGGACGTAAAACAGCTCACTCCCACCCATATGTTAATGGCCCAATGGGATGCTCAGATGAGGAACCGTCTGATAAGGGGTAGGCAATAAACAGCATTTTTAACAGTAAAGATTCTCCAACATATTAGACAAACTTCATAAGACATAGTCGGTCTCCCACTACTCATGAGTGGGAAGGAAAGTGTTAACTACATGTGTGTTGCTTCAGTCCATCATCCAAAAGCAGCAGACTACGGGCAAATGTCTCCTCGTCTATCGTTTTCAGGAAGACCTGCCTATCTTTGACTAGCATCAGTTTGATATAACGCCATCTATAGTGGTGGTCTTCAAAATATCCCCAAGTAGGTCTATCAGTAAACTTGAACTGGGATAATGGATGCGATCTCAACAGATATCTCAGTGGACAGCAGGAACAGTGAAGGGTTATATCTGCAGACTTGATTTGCTACAGAGATATTGCAAATTGATGGTGTGTTGAAAAGTGTGTATGATTATCAGCCATTGTGAGATCTTTGATATCTGTGGTCGACAAGGAAGTCACCCGCCCACCACGATCCAGTGTATCAAAGTGTCCTCATTTGACATCAGATATACATGGCATCACATGTAGCAGCCAGTACTGTTACATGTGATACCAGGTATATGTGATGGCAAATAAAGATGCTCTGATACACTGGATCCTGGTGTGCGGGTGACTACCTTGTTGATGTCTGGATTTATGCAGTGCCATCCGCAAGTCATTCCAGCGCCCATTTGACTACCATATTGGTATTCTGGTCTGGAGTGCGATGCGACATTGATGCGAATGACATCATCAAACATTCACAGACATATACTTCACTGCCGGTGGCCATCATGGTGATGGACGCTAGCAAAGCTGTCTCGTGCCACTGTTGGGCTCTCAGACCATGACCAAGTGCCAGATTTTTAAGAGGGCGTGACACAAAAATGACATTCTGGTGTCACCCAGTGGCGTCACAAGGGGGGTGTGGCCCGCACCCAGGTGCCACCATTGGAGGGGTGACACCAAAATGACTGACAGTCATTTTGGTGTCACCCCCTATGAAAAGTCGGGTACTCGGTCACGGACCGAGAGCCCGACAGTGTCAGGAGAGAGGAGGGGACCCGGCTGCATACCTCATCCTGCCAGGTGAACGTCCCCTCTTCTCTCTGCCGGCGTCCATCCCCAAGATGACCGCCAGCATGCGTCAATAAGACGACCTTGCATGCGCGATGACATCATCGCGCGCGGCAACGTCACGAGCATGCACAATGATGTCACGGTGGGGTGTCACTCGATCTCCGCTCTGGGTGTCACCCAGCTTTGGGACACCCCTGGTGTCACCTAATCTTATGCTGTCACCCATTGCAGGCCGCACCCCCCCTTGTGACATCACTGTCACCATCAATGATACTAACAACCAAATAGTTTTTTTTTTAAGTCCCCAAGAATGTGACTAACAATTACAAAGTGAGCAGTTGGTTAAGTGCAGTTGTTGCCTATTGCAACCAGTCTCTTGTTTCAGATCAAAGCAGGACCAGTTTTGTCCTGCTTCAGCTTTCTTTGCTCCAGCATCGATAAATCAGCTTGCCAGAGTCTATATTTCTGCCATAAATTCAGTACAGAACAGAGTTTTGGCTCCTTATTCAAAAAGTAAACCTCTATCTCCAGCACTATTGCAAAAAAAAGAGGCCAAAAGTCTGCATGTTTTCTTAAAGGTTTGGGAATTTCTGTCGGTGTTCTGCCAGGAAGTGGACCTCCCCAACTGATTCCTTCCAAACCTCTGAGCCATAAACCGTATCCTACGAGGGTTTCTGCTCCAGATCCGTCCCCGAAGGTTTTCAAAAGTTGGCTAATGGAAGCGGTATTAGCCCGTCCCACTGGGGGCCTTGTTTTTTAAGATAATACACAGGAAGCACAGATGCTGATAATTTTCCCACTTGCCACTTCTGACTACCTGTTCTGGCTCTCAACAATACAGACAAGCCCTAACAACGGACATTAATATCCAGCTGTTTTAAATAAGTGTTGGAATTACATGTTCATGCGGCCCAAGTTGAAAGCAAATACTCCTAAAAGCGTTTTTTTTCCCCTCTTTTTTTTAGGGTCTCCAGGAAGTCTGCGTATCGGACTAAATAACCACATCTATTGTGCTGCTACAGAAACACAGGAGTGGATGGAAATAAAATTGTTTAAGTGGAAAACAGTTTAGGAAAGTGATATGTAGCACAGCTGCGAAAAAGGTTTTTTTGGCCTTCAGAAAAAAAAAATCATTAATATCTGAATTTTTTTCTGATTACTGTAGTATCCTTAGGAAGAAAGTTGTAAAGGTGAATTTTTGAAGTATTATCTTATTTTATGGGTCAGCGATCACCAACTGTACGCGTAAGGTGTTGTTCTTCAGAGGGGAAGTGTGAGGTAATATCTCAAATGATGATAGAAATTCACCAGTTCCTCTGTAGGCTTGGGCACATGAGCTTTCAAGGGTCAGCCCACTTAAAAGTGATATTTGAGTTTGGACACTACACGCATATGCTACAGTCCCTGTACCTACAAAATATGCCTTTTTACTGTGCTACAAGTGATTTTTACAAACACACATAAACCTCAAAACAGTGGTGCTCATAGGTAAGGTGCACCTTTACATTGGTGGTTAGAGGAGTAGGGTCCTACTTACGCTGATGGTTAGTGGTAACGTTCACTCTTGGGGAATTTTGTGTGCCAGTTGTTGAATGTGAAAGTTCCCTCTTACTTTGATGGGCAGTAGAGACCTGTCCCCTTGCTCTGATTGGTAGTGGATAAGTGTTCCCTTACATTGGTGGTCAGTAGAGAAGTGTCCTCTTACATTGGGTGTCGGTGGAGATGTGCCCTGTTTTATTGGTGGTTAGGGAAGAATGCCTCCTTATATTGCTGGTCAGTTGTAATGAGCTTCTTAATTTTGGTGGTCAGTGAAGATGTGCCTTTAACATTAATGTTCAGTGAAGAAGTGCTCTCTTACATTGGTGGTCAGTTGTGAAGTGCACCCTTACAATGGAGGTCAGTGGTAAAGAGCTCATTTACATTGGTGATCAGAGGTTAGTATTCCTTTACATTGGTTGTCAGTGGTAAAGTGCTTCTTTACATTACTGGTCAGTGGTACGGTGACCCCTTACATTTGCAGTCAGTGAAAAAACATCCCATTATATTGCTGATTAGTGGTGATGTGCCTCCTTACTTTGGTGGTTGGTAAAGAAGTGTTCCTTACATTAGTGGTCAGTGGGAAAGTGTACCTTTACATTGGTGGTCAGCAGTAAACGTCCCCTTAATTTACTGGTCAGTAATAATGTACCTCTCAAATTGTTTGTCGATGATAAAGTGCATCTTTACTTTGCTGGTCAGTGGTACAGTGACACATACAGTACTGTTCAGTGCTAAAGTGCCCTCTTACATTGATGGTCATGATAAAGTCCTCCTTCACTTTACTGGTCAGTGTTAAAGTGCCCCATACATTGCTGGTTGAAACGTCAGCCACTAGCCACCATTTTAACCATCTCCTTGGGTACATACATTTTAATCTTTTTAAATTTGCAGTTTGTGGTCCATGACCGAGTGCCCAACCTTTCAGAGGGGGTGACACCAACATAACTGTCAGTCATTTTGGTGTCACCCCTTCTGCTGGTGTCAGCCAGTGTGGCACCCCCCCCACACCACTCTGTGTCTCTACACAGCAAATCAAGCTATTCCCTGCCCTCCTCTCCTCCCTCCACCCTTCTACAAGCTAGTAGATGAACAGTTGCTGGAGATTGTGTTGTCCCTTGAGATCTTGTACTGGACCAGGATGTTCAGGGAAGCCGAGCAGAGAGACTTGGAACCATCTGTTCAGAAACATGATTACTGTAAGTGCTCGGGCAAACATATAAAGAAATACTTTACTG